ATGGTTGGATAGTTGTTTATTCTCTGACCTGGGACAAAGACGAACTATTTAAAGAGAACAACTACTAGTGAGTCTTTCCCATTTGACCTATTTATTATCGTGGACCAAACATAGCGGTAAAGTAACTTATTCGGTAGCCGGACCCCTACAGGTTCAACCACGTTACACAGCAGTAAATTATGACAGCATGTTTTTTGGCCTCGACAGCTGGTGCAGTTAAACAAACGATCGATCATCATTACTGCCGGAGCGGATGCACCAAATTATGTACCTTCTCTATCGCGAAGGTTGAAAAACTTGAAATTCACACTTGGAAGAAATTAGGTTCCGGTAGATGGATGACCTCAGCGTTGACGTGTTTTTCTTAATCAGCCTAGCTTCTTAAGATGAAGCACCTACAGCAATCGGGAAGGATTACTACGTTTGGAAAATTTTTTCGTTACACTATTCGGTTGTGTTGTGTGCATCTTTCTGAGACCCAGCTACCGAGAGTAGAGCCCCATACAAGCACTGCCGAAACTGAGTTCTTCTGCGGATCTGTTTGAGTAAGTAGATCCCTCCGCAGGCACCCACACTCAGTGTCTTTAGTTACACAGTTCGAGGCCCTCCATCAAAAAAGCAGTATCCTCCTACCCTCTCTCACCCACTAAGTCCGTCTAGACCATAATATCGACCAATCGGATGTCGCATCGGTGTCTGGCTGGCCAACAGTCCGTTTTGGCCATTCACGTGGTGCGGTGATAAAATAGAATAAGATAAATTAGTTCAACCGTGGCAGTCTTTTGGATCTTAGCTGCCGCGGATCCAAAGGAGGCACGTAGGCTCGGAATTGGTTTCGTTTATCCCTCGTGCTTGTTAGTGTTGTGGTCAATTTTGGTCTATTAGACTTACTAATTTGTCCCGTGCCTATGTTCGGCACACCATTGTAGCTTTCAATTTTTCCCTATTGTGCTGGTACCGGGTTTATCGTTTTTATATTTTGACTCAGGCCGACAGTATTAAGTATCTTGTCAAGCTGTACCATAAGCCAGTCAGCTACGCCGGACGAGATTGCGGCCGAGTAGCCAGTGGGGTTCACCGTGACATGACAATCCTGGTTCGAATCGGCACTTCTTGTTGACAGGGGATCAATACGATATCATGGCAGACCTATCCTGAGTGTCCTGTTGCATAGTTTGCACTATATTGGGCTCGCTCGCTCTCTTCCAGGTTCGGCCTGCGCACCTCTGGTGATGCAGCTCAACATTCTTGTATTGAGCAACCGAGCGGAAGCGTCTCTATGTGATTGAATATCTGTTGATAGTCGCCTCGACACGATGCCTTTGGCAACGTCCGTGGGCGAATCTAGAGGAAGTGAGGTCCACCGAAACCCATTTGTTGTATTTGCTTACTCCCCAACTGACCCTGGCTGTGATTCTGCCAAAGACAGTTTCTGTGACCATCTAAGTACTCTTTTACACCGGCCAACAGCTCAAATATCGCTGTGGTGGCTGGTGACATGAGTACCCAGGTAGGTAGACCAAGTGCGGCTGAGGTCATCTTGGATGGTACTCGAGAGGCACGAACAACAGAGATCGCCTGCTTCGGATGCCCGACGATCATGAACTGTTTCTTTGCAGTACCAATTTCCAGAACGCCGGATATCGCTTAAAACGTGGCACCTAACAATAAGCCAGCGCCGAATCCAAATACACCACATCGCTGTCAATTATCCGCGGCTAGGGTCAATTACCGCCTTCCGCTCCTTCTGGAACACCAGCGTGGACTCCGACCGTGCACTTGTACGTTGGTGCTTTTCATTGCACTTTTCAAGTCTACACAGAACGCTCACGCCTCACTTAGCCGTTGAACAGCTAGTTCACCCAGAAATCAAACGAAACTGTCAGAACCGGCCCCTCGAATACCTACCGGGCAGTCCGATGTCGGATATAAACGGCCCTTGGGAACAGATATCCGAAACTTTCGTTCGCAGTACAACCCAGCCAACTTCATCCAAAGATTGAATCTCTGATAGGACTATATCTTTGCTGGAGGCCCAGGGACACATTCCTCCTAGCCGCAACCACAACTCCACCCGACACATCATCCGGCGCCAGGTGAAACTGAGTGTCCGTCCAGACCGCAAAGCTTGGTTGACTCGAAAGGTCGAAGAAATGGAAGATGCAAAAAATGCTGGAAACGTCCGCAAGCTATTCCACTTGACTCGTCTGACTGTTCCCCAGAAACCTGTTTTCAGTTCAGTAATCAGGGACCAAAATGGCTCCCTGATATGCAGCAGAGCAGAACATTTGGACCGCTGGGCACAGTACTTTGAACATCACTTCAGTTGGCCACCTGCTAACTCTAATCAGGAATCCTGACATTCAACCGAAAGGCGGATAGTGAATATAGAGCCGTTTTCCACTTCATAAGTTCCGAGTGTATATCTCCATTCAGACGTCATCGTACCTCTGGTCCTGATGAACTCGCACCTGCGCTGTTCAAGCATGTTCAGTCAGTGGCTGTTTAGCCTGTTTTTGGTCAACGTAACCCGTACTGGACAGGAATCCTGCTTGCTGCTCTCGAGTCAGTGTTTCACGAGCCACAATAAGGCAATGAAGAACACGTGATACCAACATTATCGTTTAGAATAGGGTTAAACCAGTCTCTCTGTGAAAACCGCACTCAATACGAGCCCCGTTTTTGAAAATTAGTACTGTCACCAAGTCTCCCCAGTTGTCTGGGACGGTGTTCTTTACGCACACCAACAGATCAGACCAGCACTGACTGAGGACTCCAACCCCATCTTTAAATAATGCGGACGCGAGGTCATCCAGACCAGGACCTCGGTGGAGCTTGAGTGGGCATGTGCAGCCATAAACCTCCGAGATCGTAGGGGGTTTCACGTTCACCGTCCGGGATTCTACGCCAACTGTAGGCTGTGGACGATTGACAGCTGGTGGCCCCGATAACTCTTCTTTATTCAGGATGGAGCTTCATTCTGATTGCTGATGGTTTCACTCATAGGTGGTTTCCAGGGACCAATATTATATTTAGGCTTTAAAGTGAAGGAGAGAGAAAAGAGTAAGTGAGGGGGGCCTTGCTGCTTGCTTGTCGCAAACATTCGGAATTGCCTGCACCTCCGAGCGCTCAGTCAGTCAATCTAGAAAGTAACTAACGCCACTGTCGTCTATCAATCACCACTTCTTGCATTGTCTCCAGCCAGGCGAAGGCGGGGTACGGGGGCCCATCCTGGAAGGCGTACCACCCAAACAACATCCAAACTCTTCGTAATGTCTTTCAAGTATGTCTTTCACTCGTCAGTGAACCACTTGTCTCTGAGCACGGTTCTGTGTGGGCACACGCGCCAGTCCGCTTTTCTTGTGGAACACGCCGTTAATACAGGATCGTTCGGTTCCGTGCCTCTAAAGTATATGTAACCCAACGTTATAGTGTTGATTGGCCGATAACCTCTCAGGGCTCAACGGAGGTTCACTGTAATGGCGCTCTGCGTGACGATTGGAAAAAGGTTAAGTAAGCCATCTCCGCCTATTTCAAAGCTGTTTGCTCGAGCTAGCTCACCCGATCAACGACTCTCATTGATGCCGTGAAAACTGTACCAACATGAAACAGTTATGCTGGTGCACGCAGCTTTTCGAAACACCGAGTACTGAACGTCCTAAAGGTTGAGAGAGTGCTGGTGGATAGCAGCGCAAATGACCATTGGTGACCCTACGTCGGAGGGATTGCCTTCTCTAAGTTACCATCAGTGGACTGATTAGGCCATCTGCTGCATGTGGTGGTTCTTATGCTCACTGAGACGAGATGGCTCAGTGGTTAGAGCGCGAATTTACTGACCGGAACGTCCGTGGTTCGAACCTGGCCTCTGCCTCTCGACGTCACCTGTCTAGGCTTGGCCAACCCGGCAGTATCCCAACTCTCGTGCTTCCTTCTGATGGTATGGCAGCTGGGCATGGGCACAGAAAGGTGTCACAACTGCACGATTATTACCTTCTCTCTCTCTATATATCTTCTATATATATTATCTTCTATCTGCCCACCGTTTTCAGTGAACAAAACTGTAACATTTGGGGCCGCTTTACTTTCGTGCATGGTTTAAAGCCGGATGTATGAGCTGACCATGATTCAAACCAAGGGCACAACAGCACTTCACGAGACACTGTCCATCAGATGTGTTTGTGTGTGTGGTGCTGACCAGCTTAGTGACAAATTCGACTGTTATTTGAGGATGGGGAAGACTGAATTTACAAACACTGAGGGTTCACAAATTAGTGGACTGCGCTTACGTTGTCAGCAAATCGATCGGAACCTAAAACAACGGTCGATCCACCCTGATTGTACTAACTGGGGTTACGAAGTAAATGCAAGTGCGTGGAGGGATGGTCGTGAACCACTTGGCTATTGCAAAAGCGGTTTGCGACGCACAGTAGTTGGTAAACCGTGATTTAAAGCGATAGTGGTACTTGCTGGTCCTTTAAAAAAACCCTAAAGCTCTAGACGTGTTTGTTTTGGAAAAGAAAGCACGACCAATATACCAGACACTATTCGTGGGCTAATGTGGTCAGGTCAGCCTCTCAGAATTTTCTTACTTCAGCTGTATGAAGTGTGAAAATGACAAAGTTGATCCGTTTGGATGGGCGATGGAGTATTTAAGCCTTTAATCTTCACGCTGGTCCCAGCCATCGTACTGTATAGCGACGGGGAATTATGATTATAGGCGTCATTAAATCAGCTAAGCTGTTACCCCCAGCTTATAACTGTTTACTCACTGTTTTCCCTATTATGGGTAAATGAGTCTTTAGAAGCTGGAGTCAATATGCTCTTGTTCCACGGTTTGTAGCTTAAAAGCAGAGCTTAACTGGATTAGAAGTCTTTGAAAGTTACATGATTATCTGTCCTCGTTAGCTAGTGCTTCACATGTCCATACTTTTCTTATATAGACTTTACGAACAATATTTCTTACGGATGGATCAATAACCCTTAAATGCAGTTTGGAATAGAGGCCACATGCTTTCCATCGGCTTACTTGTGAACCGATGACGACGATTGACGGTGACAGTCGGAGTGCCACCGCCGGTGGCAGTGACATATTGTCCAGCATCCACTGTGGTTACGACCAACTTCAGCCAACTAAGTCGAAGTCGGACGAAGCACAAAAGACCAAGCGTCGCGTGCGCTTTCCGGACGATGAGGTGATCTCGGATTATTTAGAACCGTTTCGCCCAGGTATTTTTGAATTTGTCACTTGTTTTTTGTTTAATATTTTTGGTGCTCCACTGTTGTTCTTTTTCACGGATAGCGCAACATCTTGTCCTCACTAGACCAAGGAAGCGAACCTAGTCTTCAGCTCCTGCTTGATTTCCAAAATGATAACAATACACATTTCCAACATGGGATCCAAAGAATGGTAGCTCAGACCAAAGTTTCCACCCGCGTTTCTACTACAACTTGTTGCTCTGTATTCTGTTTGGAAACAGTCTCGTCAGCCTATTGTCATTACTTGACACCTGGCTCCCAAATCATTCACACCAGCAAGTGATGAAGCATGTGTACCCTTGTCATGGCTTTTTGAGACAAATTCGAATCGGAGGTGAATTTTATCCTGAAGTTCAAATAAATGTTTGCTGAAAAGCCGATTGCACCGTTTTTCTTTTCGATTTCTGTTGACAGTCATCAATGGTACGTATGTAGAATCTCCTGGGATATCAAGACCCTTAACGAGTGCTCTGTTTTTATCCATACCTCTAAGGAGTCCCGACCCTAGAAGGTATTCACCACCAGCCTATGTGACACTAATTATTCGATTCAAAGATGAATGACAGTTGTTCCTTCTCGTTGCTGATAATCCATTCATAACCGAATTACAGGGTGTTCAAACTTGTATTTGGGAGCTTCGAGCTTCACATTGCCAATCACTGAATTGGACGGATTTTTAATTTTCTCCAATCTTTTGGCCTTTTCGGTCGAATCCTCGAAATCTCCCGTCAGTGTCAAGAAGAACGAATCCGCAGGATGACTTTTGTGTGGATTTAACAGATTTTAAAGGAAAGCTAAATGCATTTGTCTCTTGAATTCACTAACTGATTGCAGTTTGACCGCATTGGGAAGTGAAGTTATTTGTCAGTTTAATGTTCCCTATCATTTTCATGTCAGATAAATGGCAATAGGAAGCTTCCGAAGTTCGCATGTGAATTCATCCGTGAAGATGGAGAGTAATCTCATTCGGTGCGACTCCAGTTGGGCTAAGGGACAACAAGACAGCTTTTGGATGGAGTTGAGACGGTGGGACCAGAGCCCGTTGTTGCTCTACAGCTCCAGAGTGCCATCGAACAGGGATGCTAGGAATTATCCCATGGTTTTCCAAAAAAAGAACTTTTGGTTTTATCTGTGAACGGGCGAGCAAACACAAAGACTTAGTTCATTTGATGGCCCTTCTTTTGCCCGTGCTAGGAATTATCCCATGGTTTTCCATGGTTTTGTGAACGGGCGAGCAAACACAGACCTAGTTCATTTGATGGCCCTTCTTTTGCCCGTCTAGCAATGCATCTGGATCTGCTTATAGCCCATTGTCAATGAAAGGTTAAGCGGGGACTAGAATGCAGTAAAATTCAAACCAGTCACTGTGAAAGTACATCGATCTAACCACATTCCAGGAAAACAACAAAAACTACGTTCTTTCGTAACTCACCGCTGCATCTAACTCCAGCAAATTGTTATTCCTGGTTTTGGAAAGCCGATGCTATTTAAATGTATGTTTGTGGTGGTAGAAGTTCCTCAAGCTGACTTGTGACAAACAGAAGCGGTAGGCTTTGAACATCTTCCTTTAAAAAGTAGAATGTGCGACCCTCCAACGTACATGTCAACGTGATTAGGACCATTGCCCATGTGGATTCGAAGCCTGCTTTATTAAACTGGAACAGACCAATTCTTCACTGTCCAGTTAAAATTACGCAGTGTTACCCTTTGCCCAACTCAAAAAGGTTTGAGGATTACAATGGTAGGCCTTTTCGACATTTCGATTGCTCCTGCCTAGGTCAGCGTAATCGGCACTATTTCTTCATACTTTCTCCGTGTTGTACGACAACTAAGCACAACTAAAGGGTACAGTTTTTTATTACTGGTGCCATGGATTTATTTAGTTACCGTTAGGATTGTAACCCTAGTCCGTATGCATGTTCCTTTGGAATTAAATGGTTGGAAACTGGGTCATCTATTTGTTCTCTGTCCCCAGTTCCGGACAACTGTACAAGCGAGGAGCTGATTGCCGCCTATTTGGAATCCTGCTTTCAATACAAAGTTGCCCCAATTGAATTCCTTTTGGAGCAATTGAAAGTGAGTATAGTGCCTGTCTGATCTAGTCTTTTTATGGATATGTGCTGTACCGTGATGTTCACGTTAAATTACGAGAATCATCGCATTACCAACCATAGCCCGCTATTCTAATGGTTAACTAGACACCCAACGGGCCACATAAATGACGTTGTACGTCTGAGTTTTTGCATCTGGCAATCACCTTCAGCATAAAGGCCGTTTTCCTCAGCTTTCCGGTTGTCACCCTCACAGAGTGATCTGTCAGTGATACATCACCAGGTGTGATTCCCCGAACCTGGAGTAACGCTGTGTACCAATCCACTGACGACCCCAGTGTTGATGTCTTCAGAGCTAAACCCTTGTGGTTTCATATTCATGTCTTCGGCTAGTGTCACATTATCTTTACCACAAGCCTTTCGTAGTAAACCGTTAATTGGTGGTAGAAGTCGTCTTTCGTTGAATCTGTGTCAAGATTGGTAGGTGTATACGCACCCACGACGAATAGCGTTAGGCTTTTTCTGAACGGGCTCTTCAGTGAAACAACATACATTCCGTTTTCCACTGGAAACTGAATTGCACAACGTTTTTTCAGTGCCTGCTTGTCAAGCTGCAACCAGACTCAAATATTTTGATGAACAGAGTATCTTTTCCCGGTTGGAACTTTCATCCGATGCATGCAGGGCAATTGCCGTGCTTGCAGTTGAGTTCCACAGTCGACACTAAGTTAATCGAGAGCTTTCGTCGTTATTTCCTGTTTGTGTCACATTTCGGATGCCAGCAAATGAAATGAATTGTGCATCAATAATCGTGTGTCAAATTTCGGATGCCACCAAATGAAATGAATTGTGCATCAATAATCGTGTTCTTGGTGATAGGACAGGAGCCATCATCTCGCATTTCGTGTTTTTTGGGAACACTGTACACCCAGAAGGGCGAATTTCCTTTTCCAGCAGCCGTTGGTTCAAAAAATTACGTATTTCGCAGGGAACATGAACGATGAATGAAGTTCACAACCCACTGACGGCGGGTCGTTGTTTCCAGTTCATGTGTTCTTCAGATGGGTCTGACCCTCCAGGATACCTGAATCACCTTTTGTTTAAAGCGTTCACTAATGAGCAGGCTTCAATTCCGACAGCAGTTACCACCTAATGTCGTTTCACACGTTGTCCGTTGGTGGTTTGGGATCAGGATTTAGCCTATTCGTCCAGGCACACAACTGATAGAGCACACATTCACACATTTTTAGCCCCCTCCGTGACAGACGCGCTTCTCCGTGCTTATTTTCTGTCTTACCAGTTTATTGTATGTCAAAAAACACAGGAGTTCGCTGTCAACCGGCTTTCTAATTGCCATTGCAAGAACAGGAAAAACCAGAGTGATTTGTTGAACAGTGTTCTTGGTTTGCAGTTCGAGCGGTTGATAAGGTGATACGGTGAATTTATCAATAGAAATGAGACCATTTGATCAGTCGTGCTAGTGCTTAAATGTAATTCCCTGAGCGCAGGTGAGTAGTTCAGTAAATTGATTGACGACCGGTAGAACGTGCTGACACAGTTAATGTAGGATTACCAATGAGGCATTACCAATACTCACGTGATTTGTTTCGTGAAATGCACGTAGAGTTGAAGATTGGACACTTTTGTACATGTGGTCTGGTTTGTATCAAATGTCGTATCATTGAGCAACGTAGTTTACGATAGCGTTTGAGCGGTGAACCTACCAGCAAGACAGAGTACATAAATTACTCTATGAGATTTTCGGGCCTTTCTATCTGCATAATGCAGCAGTTGTAATTTGTTGCCTCCCTATCCAGGTCTACGGAAATGCAATGCAAATCTTTTTTAGCTCAGAAATTGTTTCGAATCTGCGTTGATTTAAACGATCCGGTGCAACAGTTATTCCCAGTAAGATTTTATGCTCCAGTCATAGCGAATCGTTACTATCATTTGACGTGTGTTTATAGTCCTCAGCCAAACCGATTCACCATTCTAAATTGCTTTCCAGGGCATTGATCTGTCGATTTGCAATGAGCGGTATAGCCGCCTCAGCTTGAAAGGTAAGTTACCAGATTGTGTTTAAAAAAACTTCCGTCTTTGGAGTGTGTTGACTCAGAACATTGCACCGTATGATAATACATAAGAAATGTTTTAACTCTTATTGTGGCCAGCGACATATAAAAGGTCTGATGTGGTCCGAAATCAAATGCCACACGCTAAGTTCGTGGCAGTAGAATGACTGCAGCTTCTATAAATGTAAAATACTACTCATAAGTTTGCTGAAAACTCTTCGACAGCCCACGACCTGTTTCTCTATTCTTGGGATTTATCAGGTAGACGCGTTTTCCGAGTTTCCGTTAACCCTATGTTCCACTGATACATCATAAATGAGAGACTCGCCTGAGATTCAACAGCAGCCTCGCCATCATCCGACTTTAATTACTGGCCTAACCAAGTTATCTTAATAGATTGCCCTAACGGGGTTCCGTAAGTGGCCCTTTCTGAGGTTTATTTTCTCTGTAGCAGCCGGTGGCATTTGCATCATTCGGTTCCATGCTTAAAGCTTTCGAGGTTATAGTTACAGGTTCATTTGCCAAACACGCCACCAATTAATCCTTTCCGTTTCTTTACAATAATTGTTTGCTTTTTGCGTCGGTCAGCAGCCATACAAACGGGACCGTCTTTTTTGTTTTGCAACAAAAGCGATTTTACTCCAGACCGAAAGAGTACTTCACTCCCGTTTGAACAGTTTTCCTGCTGTCCTGGGGTAAGTATTCTGGTGGGTCCACACCAAAGGAGGGGGAAGGCACTGGACTCGTGTTTGGCTCTAATTAGAGCTCATCATCAGTGTATATCACTGGCCGTTCAGGAGTTTGAACTTTAGAAACGGGACTTGTGGGAGGATCGTGTTACCACTACTCTATCATTACACACTAGACGCATATGAATTATCACGTCTGAACAGCCGGACGTGTTCACAATTGAGTGATTATTTAATTTGCCCGACGCCTTCAACAACGAGCTCTACTAAGAGCGAAACTCGATTTCAGTGCTCCCCTTTCCTTCTGTAGTGGACAGGAGGGGGACTGTTCAAACGAGAGTGAGAACACGATTGTCCGATTCAATGAGTAACTTGGTTATTCATTTCCCTCAGGCTGATCTGGGTTGATTTCAGTGTGCTTCTCATGAGCAGTTGGACATGTCCTGAGCACAACTTTTTCCAGACCAACTTTGAAACTAGTCAGTACCTGCAAGCTTCTCCGTAGGCTGTCCTTCTGTACTCCTCCTATCTAATCCTTATTGGGATGTGAACTTAACGGTTTTTATCGATACGGCTGAAGTGACAAGAACGAAATACCGACACTCCACAGTGTCTATCTACTTACTACGCTGTTCAAATGCTTTTTCAGTTGTTGAGATTGTTCTTTTCTTTCATACGTTCAGGCATTCGCCTTAATCGGTTACAAGTCGAGACACTGGAGGAGATATTCCGCCGAGTGCATTTTCGGGAACTTGACTTCGAGGGCACTTATCTAGATGACCAGGTACCTATTCTCTTTTTTTCTCCGTAGCACTTTGTAATTAGCCTTACATGTGGAGCAGTGCTCAGCACACTTTGTAGATTGTGGTTTGAACCACTATAGGGTTTCTTTCTAATCATTTCATTTGATGGAAAAACTTCACACCAAATGAATCCTTTGCAGATCACTGGTACATCTCTATTTAGGCCGGTAGCTCGTTTCGGTTTTCCATCAGTGTATCGGCTCTTGCGACCTTTGTGTTTTCACAGTTTGGGAATGTGCATTCTGTTTTTTTCGAAGTCTTTGATCCATTTCGTTATCTGCCTTTTTAACTATTCTTGTCGGTTCTTCCCCATCTCGTATCTAGTCAGCCGTAGCATTTTTCGACATGCTGTTGCATTACGAAACGTGTAACGAGCTCAGCGTTACGCTCAATTTGGACCGAATGCATCCCAGTCAGGCGTGGACCCGGTGCGTGACATTCTTACGACGCGTGAGTTCTGTAGAACCTTGATAAATCCCTTCTGGTATTCTGTTTGAGCTGACCACGGAGTCGGTAACAGCTCCAAACTCCATGCAGCCGGCAGACTGTTGGATACCAAGCGCTCCATGTTGGAAATCGTCAGCAGTGCACATCGTACGGATCCTTGGGGAGGTTCTAGTTCTCGAATCCGCCGTTCATGCTGGCACATGATAGGGGTTCCTCCCACTAGATAAGGAAAGGGATTCCATTTCACTCAACAAGGGGGCGAGATGGCCCAGGTGGTTAGAGCGCGAATTTACTGACCGAACTTTTCGTGGTTCGAAACCTAACTTGCACGGAGTCGGTAGCAGCTCCAAACTCCATGCAGCCGGTAGACTGTTGGATACCGAGCTCTCCTTGTTGGAAATCGTCAGCAGTTCATATCTTACGGATCCTTGGGGAGATTCTAGTTCTCGAATTTGCCGTTCATGCTGGCAGATGATAGGGGTTTCTCCCACTAGATAAGGAAAGGGATTCCATTTTCACTCAACAAGGGGGCGAGATGGCCCAGGTGGTTAGAGCGCGAATTTACTGACCGAATTTTTCGTGGTTCGAAACCTACCTCTGCCTCTCGACTTCCCCTGTCTAGGCTTGGGCAACCTGGCAGTATCCCAGCCCTCGTGCTTCCTTCGGTTGGCATGGTAGCAAGGCACCGGTAGGGTGCTACAGCTGAACGCTTTCTTTTCTTTTGACTCCACAAACGTAACTAAGCTTGGAGCAGATGTACCCGTTTCAAGTTTGTCTCGCAGTTACACGTTCATTAGGGTGCAGTCGGTTGTTGAATGTCCTGGACATCCGCTCCGTGAGCCAATTCGGCTGAGATCTGTGTCGGTAACCAGTTACTTAGCTTTTCAGTGTACGTCTAAATGCATCCGATTCTTTCAAGGCACTTCTCAGGCATGAGTGATCAGTTATTGTTCTAACAATGTCGATCCCTACGGAAGTCCTTCTATTTAGTTCCCATGTTTGCTTTGAAGTCTCGGATTCGACATTGACTACAGTCTACACTTCCTGAAGCCGATTGATTTCGTTACACAAGGGCAGCACACAGATTCTGATAGCTCACATGAGATCAACTTATCAAGTTTGCTAATAAGATATCATCACTCTTCTCTCTTGCAGTCTTCTGAACTGTGTCGATTCGCACTCAGTCACACTCCCCTGAGTGTCAGCAATTTTCTGGGACTTAGCTTCTTTGGTCTGTGCTTGGACTGCTTGTCTTTACGAGACTGCAGTCTTTCTGGCCAGGCTCTATTCGGTTTGGTTCGTTGGCTCCGACTCCTCTTATCCTCAACCAGTCTAGAACCGCCTGGACGGGACAAATCCAACGGGGGTGTTCGAAATCACAGACGCCAATCAAACGGTCGCCACGCGAGGCCCACCCGGACTGATGTGACCAGATTTTCCAACAAGCACCCATCCATTTGGGAATTGAAGTTGGACTTATCATTTAACAAGCTTAACGTTACGGATGCAGAAACTCTATTGATGCTCATACGCCATCAGATTCTGGTCCCACGAGTAACGCATTCGCCACACCATATGCCACCGTCAGGAAAGGACACGTCAGAAGAAGCTTCTGAAAGCCCCACCCCACCCGAAGAATTGTTGCCGGTTGGTGGTATAGGCTTTCTCATAGACCTGGATGTGTCGAACAATAATCTCGGAGTAAGTTCGTAACACCTAGCGTTCAGTTGTGAGCCTGCATTTTACATGGGTTTTCTGGTGTGCAAATTCTCAGCTTTACCAACTCGATATTGCTCACACGTTAATGCCTGTGCTGATCATCGGATGGCTGATAGTTGGTATCCACACGGCCTCTCAATCGACGTTGTAATATCCTAGCCCTCGGTTGATAGGGAGCCAATCAATGAAAAGATGCGATGGTTGGATAACCAGTAGTTTTCATTATCTTTGAAGAGCCAAGAACCGTTCGATACCATCTGCCAACCCTACTAGTGTAATCCACAGTTAGGGAAACTAGGGCTAGGATATATGTTCACCGAAGTCGAACTCATGGTCGTTTCGATGAAGAAAATCCACTGTTAAACCACACACTGTCATTCTTACCTGACTCCTAGCTGGGTGAGATCAGTTCTGCAATCCAATTGGTTACGTTGGAAAACGTTCAACCTATGAAGTTTGCTATCGACGTTGACGGTAACGTTCAGAATGCTTCTGTCTCTGTATTTATGCCCGGTCTTCATGGACGAGTTGTATGTGGGCGTAAACCAATGTTGTTCGGAAAAGCGACCACTTTTGCAGTGGTTTCACCGTATTGAAGTAGCATATCTGAGCTATTTTGCGAGTTGAGTAGCGAACCGAGATGATATTTCTTTAGCTTCTGGGCGAGATGACCCGAGTGGTTAGAGTGCGAATTTACTGACCGAAATTTTCGTGGTTCGAACCCTACCTCTGCCACTCGACTTCCCCTGTATAGGCTTGGGCGACCTGGCAGTATCCCAGTCCTCGTGCTTCCTCTGGGTGGCATGGCAGCTAGGCACTGGAAGGGTGTTACAGCTGAACGATTTTTTCTTTGGTTTCTCGTGAAAATACTTGAAACTAATAGAAATTTTGCTGTTGAATTGCAGTTTTCTCAAACCTGCTTTCAGATAAAAAACTGTTTAGTGGATTCTGGACAAGGTGCAGCGGGTTTATGGACACAATTTGCGGCATCTTTATGAGCATAATTTACAAAATGGAGTCTAGTTAGGCTTCAGAGGTTCATACTCTTCCAAGTGTTCCGGAATTAAAACAACCAATCCTGTGTTGTGTCATCAGCATGTATTTTCGAATCTGTTGCGCCAAATTCTTATACCAACAGTTTCTTGTAGGAAGGTTTGGGGGCTTGATAGTGCATCTGAGTGTATCGGAGTCAGTCGTAAAGAAATACATGTGAATGGTTTTCCATCAGGGGGTACTGATGTTTCTTTTTTGACAGAGCGCTTAACATCCTGATCTCATGACATACAACCGCGTGAGCTGTGCCTAGCTTCTTCAGTATGAAGAGGAGAGCGGCTTCCTTAGTTTTCTGTGACGATTGTAAACGACTATGGTACCAGATCTACGCAGGCTCTCTTTTTGGAGCCAGGTTCCCTGTAACATGCAGCATGGTATCAGTGACGACAGCATCTGATAATGGTAAACGTCGATCGCAAACTGACTTATAATGGCACGGATGACCATATACTGAATCCTGGATATCATGAATTCATCGTGGACCGCCTTACCTCATCTGATTAGTTTCCCCGTTTACTTACTTATGACCATAATCAGGCGGCTGTGGGAAATTCACCAATACCGAATCACTTACTTTACCGCTGGATCCAACAGGACCGTCTCATCTTGAAGCTAATTTTCAGGTAACTGCGGTCACCGGTGAAGGATAAGCGTGGAAACCCTTTTCGAATTGAATCGTTCCATATTCTATTTTAGTTTGGATAATCCCTTTTAAATGTGCTTCCTTTTTACAGGCGTTCCTCTTGCAGCTCAAGTCTTCTTGCTGCCTCTCATCGATCTGGCTAGGCCTGTTGAACTTGTCTTACATTGATCATCTAGTTACTGATCTCTTTCGTTCCTCTCCTCCTTAATTAGGATGATGGCCTTCGTGTACTATGCACTGGCCTGCTACAATGCTATCGTAACCGCTTGCGCCAAGTTCACTCAGAGCAGCCAACCGTAACAGGACAGGAAGCAGTTGAAGATGTGTCCTCCATCTCCACTGATGACTGTCCCAGCTCTTTCACTCACTCATCAGACGAAGTATCAGTGTGTGTGCGTGGGTTGGAGCGACTCTGCGTGGCGAACAACGGCTTAACGGCGTCTGGGATGCAGATTGTCGCGTTGCTTCTCATGCAAACCCCCCAACGTTTGGTTCCTCTAGTTGGAGGTCTTGTTAGCCTGGATCTGAGCAACAACCCTGGAATTCGTGATGAGGGGACTGAAATCTTGTGCGATGGTCTTATAAGAAATCACAGTCTGAAGGAGCTGTACCTCCGTGCAATCCGGATGTCATTTACCGGTGAGTTGGAATATGCTTATGCGGTTTTTCGCCACTAACCGGTATATCATCCGCCGAATACTGTATTGCTTGTGGTTTATTTGGACCAGATCATAACATATCCTTTGAAAGTTCCTTTCCACTTCGAAGAGTGTTAGATAATAGGTCGATGAGTAGTGTTCAGAGGAGTCCTGTTTCAACGATTGATTTTTTCGAAAAGGCTCTCTGCGCGAAGTTCGTATAGAAATGTCTATACCCAACTTTTACCCAATTGGACCACTTTGGCAGCATCCCTTTTTGCGACTTTTCAGCTTTGTTGTGAATATAATTTTCGCCACCTGATTAGTTGCTTTTCAGTTTATCTGTAAGTAATGAGTAACCAGTCCTCTGAGACTGACTGCCATACTTCGCTTCACGGAAATAATTGTGCTGCCACATTTCATATGCACTTTACATAGGCGAAATGAAAAGTTTTAGTGTCAAACTGAGTTGAACGAGTGCAGAATCCCAGGTTTGCAGACCAACCAATCGATGTGGTCGAAAAGTCACCCTTGCGGTAGTCTTTAGGCTGAAATTATTTTAATCCTAACATCTGGCGCCCAGGGTGCTATTCGTTTATTCATCCTGTGCATACGAGTACAGTTTACCCATCAAGTGCAGTAGCGTGTTAATAAACCATTTTGTAAATACCTTTCACCGCTGATATGATTTGTCCTTGGACCCTCTGTTCGATAGCATAAAGTTACCAACCCGAATACGTTGGTTAATGCTCTGTGTATCAGAAACAATTGTTCAAGATGCATGCACAGTGGTTGGGCTAACCACCCAATCACTCTCCACTCGCTTCCGGATGCGCACCTCTGGTGGTTTAGAGGCTGCTTCGGCAGGATGTGTAAGGGTTAGTGTCATCCTAAGTCACCGGAAGAATCCTCGCTTGGCCGGATACCCGTTGAGAGTGGCCTCCGTGCGGTTCGTCTGGCAACGTCTGTGAAGGAGTCACATAAATGGGGAATTGATCGATACCTTTTTGTCATGTCTGCTTACACCCAAACTGACTGTCTTCCGAGGGATTCTGTTTTGGGGGAATTACTAAAGGATATTAAAGATACCCACACATTGGCGGCTACACTTCCCCTACAGGAGCTCCGTGAACCATATTAGCCGTTTACACTAATTCCTAACGTTTACGACTCATAGCCATTAGCAGACGGCAGTTGGCAACATGAGTGAATTTGCGGGTGAGATCTTTGGGGATTTGGCTTAGCGCGAAACCCACTTCTCAGCAATCATCAGGCCATCCATTCGGTTAGATGACTGTTAGAACGGTCAGTAGTTAGATGACCCTATAAAAATTTAACAGGTGTATCAGAAATTTTTTCCTGGGGCTCATTTCGATTCTGCTACAAAAGCCTCGTCTTGTCAAATGAGTAAGTTACCAAGTTGTCTATTTTTGTGAGACACAAAGACAGTTGAACGAATCGACAGTTGGTTCACAAAAGTTCAGTGGCTGTTCAAACCATTCGGTGGCCGCATGGTTCCGTCATGGATACCTATACTCAGCTGATTAGTTCCAAGCAGGACGAATGACTTGTGACTTAGATCTCCTGGATCTAGCAATATCTCTTTCACAAACAGCTTGACTACTCACTAGCAGTCATATGAATGTCCAAATAAGTTAGCTAAAGAACGAGACCTAAGTGTATCTGTTTAACTTATGTCATCGCATATTTATCAAGTTTTCATCTGTTCAATTTATGACACCATTGTCTCAGCCTTGACCTCAAAAGTGTACGCACGACATCATGACCGGTTCATCTGAATAGCAAACTTTGCTGTACTCCTTTCACGGTATCGACATATATCGAAAACCACTCACACGTGCTCGAAAATAGATGTTTGTTCTTTGTGAGCTATCAACGAGCCGTTGCATTCCACCAAAGTGGTTCGTATCAACACAACGTAAAGCAACCGAGATTTATCAGATTTTAATAGCGATGTTTTCGTTTTAAACGTCCAGTTTGCTGTCAGCCCACTGCATGGCGAAACGTGTCGGTGGCCTTGAGGCTAACGTCTTACGATCTCGCCATCATTATTTCTTTAATGGTCACATATGTACGCACAATGTTGGTGAACAGTTCAAGGACGGGTGGTCATGGCTTTCCGTAGCACCCGATCGTTTACACTAACCAATTTGTCCATCGTGCACACGTGTACTGTGTACATAGTTACTTTCACTTTGAGACCGTATAAAATTTCGAGAGAGAAAAACCTATTGTTGGTCCCAGGTTTTGGTGTATTCTGGGTATCTTTGGTTGATTTTCAAAGCCCTCATGTGACTACTCTCTTTTCTTCTTCAACCTAAGAAATGTACATTTGGAAAAAAAGATGAACGAGCCCTCAAGCTGAGTGGTATTGATATTAAGCCATAAACTCCAGTTAGTGTGTAAAATGCCTAGACGGTGCGAAGTCCTTAAGAGGCCACATCAGTGTTTCGTCGGAACAGAGGTTTCAGCAAACCCACTGGCCTTTATTTTTGTCAGAATTTCAGCGTTGTGGACTTCTAGTTGTTACTCTTTGTGGATTAGTACTGACGCATCTCCGAACTTTAGAACACGGTTGGGGACGCACAGACGTATTACGATGACGTCTTATACATGTTCAAAAGGATCAAGCTTCGGTTTGTGAGTTGCCTGATTAACTGCTGAAATGATCCAAAACAAAGGCTGTGGTTGCTTCACGCAGTTTTTGAATGCATTTTCATGTTGGGACAACTTGTCTCTAAATGAGTCTCTGGGTATCTTTGGTAGGTTGATAAACGCAGACCGCAGCTTATGCACTCACCTTGTGAAACATCACCAATAATCTTCTGGGTGTTTTATGTGGTTCGACTTTCCAAACTTCTGGTTTGAGTGGTTGTCTTCAACAACCAAAAAGCATGACTAATTGATGTGTCCTGATAAGCTCCTCATGGGCGTTCCGCAACATTTGCGACTTGAGGAGAAGTCAGTTCAGTTGACCCTTTCGTCCTGTTTTCAGCAGAAACTAGACTTTTTAACGACACTGAATTTACTTGCTTGTGACCTCCGAACTACGTTCTATCTGACCGTTTTCATTTCAGAGGTAGTCCGTGCTTTTATTTACTCATTGTTCTCCACTTCAGACTCCTCATTCCTTGATATCTTTATCCACTTTGTTTACCGCCGCACTATCTCGGAGACTTCAGCTTCCACCATTTCGAACTGTTAAGCATCGTTGGCTGCGTCGCTTTCGTTGCAAAATGTTTTCCCCACACTTTTCTCCGTACATGTATTGTGTACGGTCCCACAAATCCTTCCTACACATCCCTCCTAACCCATCACTTCGCCAACCATACCGAGCTCTTCAGACCTCTGATCAATGCATTTTCTCTCCCGAATTCTTCATGCTCTTCGATGTTTTTCAGCTATGCCCAGTTTCGATTTCTTGCATAATAACTGCTGAATTGTTGCATTCCGGTGACAAGTGACTTCCGCTAGTGACTTGAATGAAGGTATGCCCCAGCTTATTCCTCAATTTTCCAGTCGTTTAACGTTTTCTTCCCGAATAGTTCAGTCATGTCTATATACTAACTGAGGGTCATTTGTGTAAGTGAGCTGCTCCCCTTAACTGTTGCGGTTGTTTACTTTTCTGGAACTTTTGAAATGCACTGTCAACAAACCAAAGCTTACAAGCTTTCTAATGCTCCAGCTGCAAGTAACTTGCTCCAAAATGTAACGTACGCCTTTAGTACCAACATTTCTACTCATATGTGGCACACGTTTTCTTCACATCCCCTTTACATACATAGAATGAACTGGTCGCAGATTATTCTGTCCTGATTTCTTCCATATACCCCAACCCACTGTAGTAATTTCTTCCACAACCTGCTGTCATTTTTCCAGCTCACCAATCACCACGAATAACATTCTTTGTTTCTCTGTTCCATCCTCTCCCTCGATGGCTCGGAGCCCCTTGTCTGGGTGGCGTCCATCTGACCGTTTCGAACTTGTGCACAGAGCTTGCGTCAGTTGCGTACGACTTGCTACTATCTCACAGCACAGGTACCTTTCTGGAATTTTTCTGAGTACTTTCAATGTACTCCCAGTCTTGAAACATGACTTCTGAACTATGAGGACTAAGTGATCACTAATACGGATGTGGCTGTAACCGCTCCGTAGGTGGTATATTAGCATACATGTTGCATACAGGCTTTCTGCCATCCTATCCTCTAGCAAAACTGAGCTCGCTAGACGTCTGGAACGCTTTTTACCGGGTCTGGAACTAAAGCTTGATAAACTGGATCGGTGACTACCTCGACGGTAGCTTTATGTGTATTCGCCAGAGGTTTTTTTCACGGTAATTCCTCAGTTTCATCCCTTAATTCACTTCCGCCTTCTATCCGAAAACCCTGCTTCATTGCGAATTTCTGACGATCGCACTTCAAACATCCCCCATCGTGGAGCTTGACCATGTTTATATGTCTTAGTAAGCTCCAAGCTGTGGTAAAATACCCTCTATATATCCCCATTGTCCTCTAAATTTGTTTGTTTTGTTGTGGTGTCGTGAGTTGCCACTCTACTGTTTTCTCCTTGGCCACCTATCCCCACTGTGGTTTGTCAAGTAGCAGCTTTTAGTGTTCATATTTATCCTCACGATGGGCTGAGAAGCACATGTCTTAGTAAGCTCCAAGCTGTGGTAAAATACCCTCTATATATCCCCATTGTCCTCTAAATTTGTTTGTTTTGTTGTGGTGTCGTGAGTTGCCACTCTACTGTTTTCTCCTTGGCCACCTATCCCCACCTGTGGTTTGCAAGTAGCATCTTTTAGTGTTCATATTTATCCTCACGATGGGCTGAGAAGCACCGAACTAACATGGCTCGATTTTGATTGGCCCACATTCTGACCAATAAGGGCATGCCCTCGTTTTATCGGTAGGCGGTTCCTTACGCACCCGTCCAATTGACGTGATGTTCGCTTATTTCGCGACAGTTGCTTTCAACGAAGTTTGCCTTCTATCTCGAGAATACCTTACCTCACTTCTTTTGCGCAAAGTCCGAATCCACTTCACGGCAGTATACTGTTGTCATGTTCAGAATTGGTCTCCCTTTCCGTCTTTCCATCTCAACTGACTCCACGAGAAAAGCATTAGTGTTATTGCTACTCCCTCCTTAACCAATGATTTATAACTGCTATCCATGCATAGAAATATCGCATCTGTATGTTCTACGGCTATTCTGAACAGGTCTCTGCCGTCTTCCTCTATCGGACTTCCAATGGCATCAGTCGTCTTTGCACTTCAGGTCATCCCTCCCAAGTTGCTCCATAGCCGCCTCCTCTGTTCCAGGGCGCGTTATTTATCGGAATTCTCAACCTCTTTGTGCATTGCCCCCTTTGTATAATCCCCACTTTTTCAAGACTTATGTCAACATTGATCCCAATAAAGTACATTGAACATTTTGCGTTTTTTGTGTTGTTTGTTTTTTATTACCATTTTATACAGGTCTCCGATAGTAGATCACTTACTGTTCCGATTCATGCTTAGGTATAATGAAACAGTTCCTTGTTTTTTTCCTTGTATACTATAGGTATTTTTGCCCTTTCTGGCTTCTTGAGCGAATCCAAGTGTTTGCGTATGTTGGACATTCGTTCAAACCAACTGGATCTCGCTGGTCTTATGGCTTTGTCAAAAACCCTGGCTCTGAATTTCACTCTAACCGGCTTCCTTTCTGACGCACGAAGTTTCTCAGCATCGGACAGTTCTCTCCTTGCGGTGAGCGTGCGTTTTAACGGTCTTGTTTTGCGATTTCATGGGTATGCACTCTCCCCAGTTGTCCGGCGTAGTGTGAAATTTCACAAACTCAGGCTCCTTGTAATCTTGCGAGCTGCACTTTGTTAACACTGAGATCAGCATCTTTCTGTAAAATTGTTTGTTAATTATTTCCACACCAACTCTTGTGAAATTCGGCTAAACTTTTCGTCAAGAGGTCAGTATCGGTGAGCACAACACGAAAATTACCAATGTTGTTGTGCTGGCAACCTGTTGTTCATATTTCACCAAACTACTGATATTGATGCATCTGCCAGGTGGACATATTGGTCAACCACATCTGCCGTACCATCTTCTCAATTTTTCACGAACACATTAAGTTTTGCATGATTAAAAGTGCAACTGAGTTATACGTTTCGTCTAATATTGTTAACATCTTCCTGGAATTCGATCTACATATAACCCTTTTCAATGTCTGCAAGTGGACGCCTTGGGAGAATTTCAATCCCATGGACGGTGAAGGCAGCTTTGGATTGGTTTGTCAGCAACGAATTTAAAGAGACTCTAGGCTGGTTTTCAGTTCAAGAAAGACAGCCGCTGTTGACTGTTGAAAGCAGCGGCTCTGTTTCAGCACATTTCAGATGAACGCGTAGTTTAGAGACCTCCACCCCAGCCCAAAGCCACCTTGATTGTCGAAAAGATACTGTTTGCGAGTAGGACCGGAGATCATTCTGGAGAATAAAGCTACTGGACTGTTGTCCCAGTGCTTTTTGCACATTGACAGATGGAAGCACTCCATTCTGAGATTTTTTATATATCGTTCCGTACTACCTGTAAAGTTCCGTCAAACAGACTATTAAAGCGTCAGGGGCAGTATCAGAGGCAAGCTATCCGGGTCAGGTTCCTTGTCAATCCTAAGGAAGATATTTTGTTGTCCTTATTTCCTTTCCTTTGGGGGAAGGATATCCACATCTCTGTTCCCCTGAATTGCAAGAGACAAGGTAAACTGTTCGGCTCACCATTCCGGATGACGTTTCTGAGTAGATTGTTGGGTGTTCCTTTATGTCCCAACAGTTTGTTATGTTGGTCTTCCTCACTTACTAGTTGTCTCAGACTTTTCCAGGAGATGCTTGTTCGCAAGTGTATTGCAGATGACTTATACGCATTTCGCATTGTTATGGTGGCATACCGATTTGTTGTCGATTTCGTGGTCCGACTAATTTGTTAGCTCAACTGTTCGACAAATTATGGAATCGAACCATTCTGCAAGCGATGGCATTTCGAATAGGGGTCACTAATTTGTTAGCTCAACTGGAGTGTATCTGTTCGACAAATTATGGAATCGAACCCCTCTGCAAGCGATGGCATTTCGAATAGGGGTCCAACCATTGGTGATTCGATTCGAATAGCCTCTTCAGGGTTTCTAAAATGAACAGTTTACTGTTAACCTGTGTACGCTTCTCCTAAACACGCGGTGCAATAAAATTCTGTATCCTCGACCCGACCCTTCTGAATCTATCATTTTATGCACCCCAATGTCTGGACTTAATTAGGTAGAACGTTGTCCAGTTATTTCGGCAGCTACCAACAGGGTTGGCGTGGATTCGCATTCTACCACGCGTACGCGCATGGAAGTCTAGTATGACCTTGTTTGACCTTGTTATCCTACTTTATACTTCGTCACACTTCCAGGGACGTATAGCAATCCTTCTCAAAAGACCCTGAATAGTGGACATTTCCTCAGCACGCTTTCGGACGGATTTCCATAGTACATTGACTCCTAATGTTTTTCGTGTCACGACCCATTTTTGTAATCAATCAAGTAATCGGCGCCCCACATTCATAGTTATTTCATCACCCCGTCAAGTCGCCAGCCCGTCAATTTACCGTTTAGTATATTCCGTCAGTTTTGTTGATGCGTTGGATGGCATACGTACATGTGAGAGTTTGTTGATTTCCCTTTTCTCTAATTTATGAGCTTTTAGTGTTGAACATAATCTTCCAAAAAATTTAGAACACATGAGGTCGATTGGTTATCAAAACTGTTCAGCTTCACATCCATGCATTCAGCGTGTGACCTGCTCAACGCTGTCCCGAACGGTGCTACCATGCACTTCGCTTGCGAGAAAGCCCAAAAAGCAGTTATACACAATGGGTGACCACATCACAGAGTTACTCTTGCTGTTTGAGTGCGGCTGTATGATGGTATGAGCGTACCGTCCGTGTTGAGTTCAATGACTGACAATGTAGATTGTGCCCATTATGGTGTTGAACTTACCTCGGTTTGAACCCGTATGACCAAAACAACGTTTACCGACCGTCTGTTATAGGGGCCTTGTCAAATCCTCCGTGTGGCTGTTCACCACAAGGTGCAATAGCCTCACCTTTTCATTCCATTAAAACGGTTCGGGCTGCAGAACCTTGGAGCTTTTGGTCATACGAAGTATGTGTCAACAGTTTGTTCAACAGTTTGCTGGCAAATTTGAAAAGCTGAATAAACAGTTTTAGAAACCGCATTGTTTACTCTGGGAGGAGACCAGATACATTGGTTGTGTCTTCTGAGCTGAATCACTATACAACTTATGCGTTTCATGGAGTGCTATCTAATGAAGGCAATCACAATAATAGTGCTTGAAATTAGGACGTTTGCTTCGATGTCCTTGGCTAACTCTTCGCTGCTGCCAGTCTCTTGTGTTTGTTATGTATGCACATATGACTGTGTCAGATATTTGGTTGTGCAACCTGTCACTAAAATCGAAAATCTAGTATCACACACACATAGATGCAACTTGGAATGAGGTTGGGTGTAGCTGAACACCAGGAATGAAGCGACAGAGTTTACTGTAACAAAGTCAAATTATTAGTTTACTGATCAGGGAACTCAGGATAACTCAGGAATTAGGGTTCCAAACTTTCGAAGGATAAGGAACACTTAGTTAGGTAAACAGTCTTCTAACCACCTTTGGAACAGGTCTCGCCAGTATCCCATAAAATTTAGACCACTACAGTTAATTCCCAATCACCACTACTCCTTTGTTACGAGACATTTGGGCTTAGTTCTGGGCGAGGATACCAATTGTCTTCCTTTCCAGTGTGGAATCTCTTGCCAGGTAGGCATGACGTGTGCTAATGGGCGTAATCTCATACCGCATCGGAAGTGGCTTGATGACACGTTTGTTTGCTGTGTACATGAGAACGGGCAAATAAGTGCCTGCTACGGTGTCTTCCTTTTGTGGAATCTCTTGCCAGGTAGGCATGACGTGTGCTAATGGGCGTAATCTCATACCGCATCGGAAGTGGCTTGATGACACACACGTTTGCTGTGTACATGAGAACGGGCAAATAAGTGCCTGCTACGGTTGATATATTGATTGGTACATGTTCTTCTAATCCTTTTCGAGCGATTCGACGAGCTGACGTTAGATCCCCACACCATCCACATTTTTGTTTCATCCATTCCAGGGAAGCTCGATTGCACAGCACTAAATTTTCAGATCATGCTTACTGCTTTCGCCTTTTAAACTAAAATGACTAGGGATTATCTATCAGCTCAAATCAGGAGAAATTCCGATGTGAAATTTCAGCTTTGGTTTGTCAAGTTGGCTTGAATTCTATCAAGCGAGAATCTTTTCTTTTCACGTCAGTCAGGGACCAGACTGACGTCACATTGTCATTCATACTTACATACCACTTGCATAGTTTTGGCTTAATAACGATCTAAGTCACATGCTGAGCGGAATCACATCATCGACATTCTTGTCCCTTTGAGGCCCCCAAATTAGGCAGGTACTGGGATGATTCAGGTGTGATTCACTTCAGAATTTTGGTCGAAGGTATACGGACGGAAAGCGAATAGACTCCAGTGGGAATAATGGAACTGGTGAACGAGATGGGATGATCCCTTGCTTAATCATACTCCATCCGTCCAAAGGATCTCTCTGTTCTTTTTGTCTTTTTTTACTTTCATGGCTGATTTTATCTATAAAAATCCATCCTCTGAAGCGTTTCATGACCTTCGGGTTGCTACCCATCACCGTATGATTTCCTACGTCCAGACACTTTACGACTAATTCATCGATCAGTGGTTTATATTCTTCAGTAAAGATAATGTATTTTACAACTTATAAAAAAACAAAACCCACGTTTCTCAACAGTCACACTATTTATGAGCTACAACACCTAAGTGGATTCAAAACTGTTTGAAGGTTGATTAGCTTAATTTAGAATTATTCACTTGAGAATGAGCTTGGTGTTAACAGGAGACTTACCTGAATCTAAGCAAAGTCTCTTGTTTGTGATATCCTTTAAAGGATTCGGCTGGTTCAGCTGGTATTCGGTTGGCACTTTCAAGTTCGTTTACAAAAAGGTTGCACATCTACGCTTACTTACAATCTTGTATTCGAGTAGGAAATAAGTCTGATGAACTCTTGGCAGTCACGCGCACCTGATATGTTCCAAGAAGGGCCATTCAATGAATTTTTTAGCAATCTTTTAAACGGTTTTGGAGCTCTGAACCTAAGGTGAGAAACCTAAGGAGACGGCCAACTACCTTTGTGATAAGTATGCAGGATTTTGTCGATTTCTTCGGCCAATCGATGTGTTTTTTGCGCCTTGGCATCACTTATACTCATCTAAATCTGAGATTTAATAAAGGTTCCGATGAAATCATTCGAACAAGCGAGATTTTGCCGAACAAAACCGGCAAATAACAGACTCAGCGAACAATCAAGAACTTCGCATTGATGTCATATATTCTGTTGAAGATTATGCTGCTCTGATTTGGCGAGACGAACTCGGTAGTTTGTTAAGACTTTCATACATCCACACACGGTTCCAGACTTTTTGTGGCGTTTTCGGCAACCAAGCGCACTCATAAAATACATTACATTCTGAATAGATTTCACTCCTGAGGAAATTTCAAAAGGGTCATTTTTCTGTGGTGATCTATTTTCGAAGGGCTTCCTTTTTTTCGCCTGTTTCCAGTTTTAATGCCCATCAGATGAAGGTCCAATCAAACTCGTATTCGCCATCGATCAGCTTAACCCGCTGCCCTGCAAAATGCTCGTAAATACCCCACTGCTCAAGGTTCTGAAAACGGTAGCTTTTTGATTGTTTTTGCGTCAGACGGATATCCGTATGGGTACTTTATTCATCACTTTTTACTCCTACAGACTGATGCAGAGCTCATTCTGTTCCTGATTGATGAAATTGATACCTATTTGCGACGTAATCGTGCGTTGCTTGAGGAAAGCGCTGATCCGCCCACCGTTACGACCACCACGGTCAGTACTAGTCCTTCCGGCAAACCAACAGACACCGTTAATGCAACTGTCGATGTGCAGTCATCGAGCACAGCTACTATCGGCAGCTTCTCTGACCCACGTGCCTGTTTATCAGAAGTGATCCTCAATCCCGCAGAATTCCAGGTAGCGCACGAGAAGTCGGATTCATCTAGCAAAATGGTCCCCTCTCAAAACGTTTTGAGTAATTTGAACAATACGAAGACATCCACCTTTGAGGACACAGAGCTCTTAGCCGTCGGCTCGTTTGGAACAGCTGATGTGCCATTGGGCTCCAGTGTCCATGAAGAAGACCCACCTGCCGCGCATTTCGTTGAGTCCGTGGTAGAGTGTGCTGGGTTGTGTACGGGGTCAGTTAAAGATCCCAATCAGTGGATGGTCGTACAAAAACAGTTGGATGATCATCCTGGAGCCCCCACTCAAACTCGCAAAAGTGAAAGCCGACTTATCGCAGTTTCTTCTCAAGAAGACGGCTTGTGTCGGTTTTACGGACAGGAGATTAATGCAGGACCAAGTGGATTACACTGTGTCAGTCTTCAGGAAGAGCTACCCGAACCGCATAGGGTGGAAAATGTGCTTGCAGAAAGAATCGCCAATGATGTCATTGATGGAAGTGCACGCTTGCCCAAGTGCGTGCATCACACCGGTATCTTTCCATCTATTGAACAGCAATGCGGGGATTCCTCTACCCCATATGCTCCCAAGTCTACCGGTATTAACCAACGGTCCGAATCGGGAACTGTAAGATCTTGTCAAGGTGGAGATGATTACGCCGACGGATCGGGGGGACTGCAAAAGCACGCTAAAGCGACGACACAGCAATCTACACGTTGGGACGATGGGGACTCTGTGGAACATCTCTCGACACCACAAACTTGACCCCTGTTCTGGTTGAGCAGGTGAGTGTACAATGTCTTTTTATCCAGCTCAGTATGTTGTGCTCGATAAAAGGGTGTCTACTTCTTTGTGAGTTTTTTGGGACACTGGAAACCACTGCTAATTCTCACACTGAAACGGAAGGTTAATAGACGTTGCGTTTTCAACCGTGTTCAAGAAATCACAGTTAGCGTGAAGAGTTCACTGTTTGTGTTCCATTTTTTGTTCTGATGAATTGTCCCTAGACGTGTGCGCCCTGTTTTGGTCAGCGTATCTCTGAGTTTACACGTTGTAACACTGAGAGGGTAAATTAAGCAATCTCCTAATTCTAGAAATGCGTAAGCTGTGGTGAAATTAAGCATTGAAACGGTCAGATGTTGATGCCGTTGACTCGTCTTAACTGTCCCTATGCCTACTCTTCACAGTGAGACATTTCGAACAACTTTTAACCATGGTTTCTTCTGTGGGTCCCAGAACCCACCTACTGAAACTAACGCATCTCTACCTTGCATCCGAGACGCAACTAAGTGCATATTTCCTGTGATCATTGGTTTCATTCGACCAATAACGTGTGTATGCAGTTGCATCTTCATAGGTCTAGACATCCAAAGTTAGTTGAATAGGAGGTGTTCACCAGTATGATTAAGAAATGCGGTAACTTTGGTATCAGAGCAAACACAAATATCCTCTCCCCGCAGTTGGTCAGCTCAACGGATGCACAATGCAGTCTTTTATCATTGTCAAACTCGCCAAACTAGGTCATACTTGTTCTTACAGATTTGGTGTCTAAACGTTCGGTTGTTTATTGATCGACCTCACTTTGTTGCTCGTTCTCAAGTGTTTTCGCCAGTATATTTGCTTCCCACGCCACGGACAAACACTGCTCCCTTCTAGTCGGCCATCTTTGACCACTCTATTTCCCCTGTTTAATTTTCCCATCCACAGGTAAAGCGAATTCTGTGTTTGTTGCATTCGGCCCGGGCCCGTTTTTATATCCAGTTGCACAAAATTAACGCTGTAAATGCCGTTGCACCCCTTAATGACTTTATTTTATTTCATCTTGCTTTGTTCTTTTCTTCCCCGTTTTTGTTGACATATCTACACACGAGGTTCTCTTGGTTTTCGTTCCGGCTGTGTTCATCCACCTCATTAATATTTGTCTTATGTCCACTGCCATTCTCACTTTCACCTTTCCGTTTTATCCTGTTTTTGGTCAATTGGTTAAGTACAAATTTATCTACAGCCTCTGTTTTTCGTTCATCGAGGTTGCTGTCTAATTGAACAGCATTAAACAACTATCGGTTTGGCTGGTTCTTTTCACACGGCAAAATCAGCTCATATAATTTCAAGAGGGACAAAGCTAGCCATGGGCTGTCCAAAGTTTTCCTCTACCTTGTGAGTAGTATCGCTCAAGTTGAAACTTGATCTGGCCTTGGCGCAGCCCATCGAGTTGGAGAATGACAAAGCGAGGGACTCAAGCGAATTTCAGATAGGTGTCTCATGGACACCGACCTAGTTTCCCAATGAGTGTTTATCACAACATACAATTAGGAAATAAGCTTGATGGAAATCCAGGGACTAGGTCTACCTGTTTAGTCCCAAGAAGCGCGCGAGACCGGCAATGGATGGTCCGGTGGTGATGTTAAGTGGTCTGTTGGGTCTGTTGATTCTTGTTGACTTGACATTCATTCTTACCTCTGTCTTCTATCATTCTTCGTTTTTTTTCGACTTGAAAGATTTACCATCATTGTGCGAACATTGGAATTAATCAAAACAAAGATCACACAAACGGCCTCCTTGTATTTGGTGGGGAAATACATAGAAACTTTCTGTACAAAAAACTGAACTTTTCGAATGGTTTTGTTCCGAAATCTGGTTTCGGACCGTAATAGTCTGTATGTTTAGATCTATTAATTGGTCTCATGTCACATTAGTGGTCGCACAGCTCCGACAG